AAAAAGGGCATCCTTGCCCGTCAGATTAAAAACAAACAAAACCTCTCCATTAAGCACACACATTAAGCGCTACCCCATCTTCAGGTGGTAGGGCACTTGGCAACAATAAGTGTATTGTTTGGTCAAGCTCAAGCAGATTAGGCCGCTGACAGTAACTATGTACTGCTTGACTCCCCACTTTTAAGTGGCTAAAAGCAGCAGCGAATGAATTAAACGATGAAGTTGTCAAGGGCCCAAGACAAAGGCTTCCAAACGGGGCTCTATAATGGCGAAGTGAAGGTTACTTCCTGAGCGGCAAATCTAAGCTTTTCTATTACAGATTTGTCTCAATCACGGCAGGTCTGACCAGAAAAGAAAACTTTAAAGAATATCTTGACGCTGGACTTGGGGTACTGTTCTGCACTCGTACGTTTTCACGTAAAGAAACAACTGGAAGAGGAGGGAAGAGGTCATCTTCTTCCTCCAAGCCTTGTATTTCCTAACAAACCCCTATTTTCCAAAAGGAGGCCCAGGTGGAGTATCAGATGAGCTCCCGGCTGACGGGAGGCATTTCTCCAGGCTCGGGAGGCTATAGATAGGCCTTTATTCGGCAGCCAGATCTCAGTTCCAGAAGGCACTGGCAGCCACTGGAGTGGCCATCTCTCGGCCCAGGTTTCCCGAGCCAGTTCTCAAGGTCCTTCCAGGTGGGCGGGGGCAGAGTTGGGTTTCGGGGGATGGGCTAACCACCTCCGGCCCTCGCGCGGCAGACCCCACCCTCATCGCAGCAGAAAGGGAAGGGACGTGGGGCAGGATTCACCCCAACCCCGCTCCAAACGGGAGTCCGCGGGGCGCTGGAACAAAGCTGGACTGGTCGGCCAGGCGAGGCCCGAGCCTCAGGCGGAGCTTACTCGCACCGGCTGGGGAGGGGACGCCGCAGGGTGCAGAGGCGGGCTCGGAGGCGTCCGCATCTGGCCTTGATGGGCCTTGGGGACACATAGGCCCAGCGATGGCCACCTTCCTACTTTGGGGGGAGGGGAAAGGCAGAAGGCAGTAGTACCGACCATCCTCACTCAAAGGGAGGCAGCAGGCGAGGGAGTGGGAACCGCCGGTAAGCCGAGGCTGCCGCGGATCCCGCAGGCCCACAGTCCGTCAGGGTCACTAAGGGGAAGATGTCCCGGATCCCCGCCCTGCAGTCCCGCGGGTTCAGGAAGGGGCCGTCATATTGGACTATAAGGCGAGGGGCCTTACCGCTTGAAATCCCGCATGAGCCTCCTACGGGCCGGGGTCGACATGCTCCGCAGCTGCCCCGCGGTCAGTCTGAAAGAAAAGAGTCCCGTTCGGCCCCCCCACCCCCCGGCGCAGCGGCCGAATCACTGTGGGTCGCCGCCGCCGCCGAGACTGCACAAACAACCCTGCAATGACGTCTCCCTCCGCCGCCTCCAGATCCCTCCGCCCTCCGCCAGTACCACCGCGGGAGGAGGGGGGAAGGGGCGGGGCGAGCGGGCGCGCGCGCGGCCGCGGCCCGCGCCAGGGTCCGTCTTCCGGGCTGATTTCCTGTGAGGAGCCGCGCCGATCCCGCTCCCTGTTCACGCCCGGAGCGACGGGCCCGAGGCCGCCCGCGGCCGCACGCTACCTTGCCTCTCTCCCCCCGTCGCTAGTTTCAGGTTCGGCCGGACGGGGAGAGACGGGCGCATCCGGAGCCTGAGATTTCAGGGAAAGGAGGGGGGGGTGACGTCAGGTCACGTGACCGCTGGCGGCGTTGTCAACAATCCACCCCTGAGGGGGAGGGAGCGAAGTATCTAGAACCACGTGTCCCTGTGACGCCATTAACAGGTCACGTGACGGTGTCGCCTGGCTCCTGGTTTTAGGTCTAACGAGGCAGGTCGCTGAGTTTAAGAGCGAGCTTGACACCTCTAGTTGTATCTTGTTCCTTTGGCCCCAAGCACAGGAACTTTGCCTAAGGAGATGTGGAAGGAGCCGCTTGCCTTCTAAGTCTTTAACACGGAACAAAAAAATCTGAATTTTCTATTTCAAGTGACTTAGCAACTTTGGTACGTGGGGCAGGTGCTGAAACGGTCGCGTACACTTGTAAGAATCAGCTTTGAATGCGAAGGCCAGCGCAAATGAGATGGCTCACAGGCTTTGGGACCAATAACCTGTTCCCACTAGTGGGATTTTTGTACGGAAAGGCTAGATTGTCCAAGCCTTTAAAGACGGCACAGAGCTAAAGAAATTGGAATCTAAATTTGCCTGCGTTTGAGGCACAATTGTATTTTTCAAGAAATGTGAAAAAAAAAAAAAAGAAAAGAAATGTGGAGGTGTGATTTTAGAGCATATCAATGGGCTGCTGGTTGTCAAAGAAACGCACAAGTGATTCAGATGGGGGGAAGAGATGGTGCAGACGTGAGTGGGAGGTATTTCTTGAGTCTGAGATAACTCATTACAGCTCATTACAGGCTTTGGATAATTGCGAGGAGGGTGCCAAGAGGACCGGAAGTGCCCCTTCTTGGGTGTTGATGCACAGCAGGCTCAGAAGCCTTGACCCTGTCCTCCTTTGCCGAGTCACGGAACACCCACCCTCAGCTTCCATCTCCAGTTGTGAGGATTTGTTAGTCAGGGGTACAGAACATTTTAGAAGACGCGGAATTCTTAGTTCTAGCAGGAGGAAGGAAATGAAAATCCACTGCTCCGCTCCTGCCCATGTTTTCAGGAAACCAGGAAGGCTTTACGTTTCCCACTGCCCTTACCCCTCTCTTCAAACTCTGAATTCTCTTGGTTTAAAGGAACCTTGAGAACCCAATGGCTTGGTGTACTCTGCTGATCCCACTATCAGGTAGTGGAAAGGATCAGGAGTTGAAGGGTAAGCCTCAGTGATAGTGAGACAGTCTCATCCTCCTAGCCCCCTCTACCCCCAGAAAAGTAACCTTGAGGTTTGCTAGGTAGGTCTCAGTTACCCTAGCCGCTGCTCTGCACTCGCAGAGTGACTCAGCTAAAAGTTAAATACTTCTTAACTTTTTAAGTTTTTTTTCTCCTTTTTGAGGTATATGATAGAACCACAGGGTCTTATATAGTCCTTTTTTTTGTTTGTTTGTTTTTCAAGACATGGTTTCTCGGTGTAGCTTTGGAGCCTGTACTGGAACTCACTCTGTAGACCAGGCTGGCCTTGAACTCACAGACGTCGCCTGCCTCTGCCTCCCGAGTGCTGAGATTAAAGGCCCTTTAACTTTTTACTGAGCGGGAGGTGACAGTGCACAGATGCAGCCTCAGCACTAAATAGGTGGGGACAGGAGGGCTGCAAATTCCACGCCGCCTTGAGCTGCGTGGAGAGATACTGGCTCTAAGGTTCCCTGGGCTGGCCATCAACTCCCTTTGAGTAGCTGGCATAGGTAACAGGTATCTTGCCTTTCCTTGTCTTCTCCTTCTCCTTCTCCTTCTCCTTCTCCTTCTCCTTCTTCTCCTTCTTCTTCTTCTTCTTCTTCGCCATCCAGCCATACCATTCCTAATCTTCCTCATGGGTTAAGAACAAAGGCAGATAAATATGTGGGATTATATGCAGTGAAATGCTAAAGAGATTCTTTTTTTTAATCTCATTCTGTCCCTTATCTAGTAATTTAACTTAGAAATGGGTGGGATAGTTTGATTTTTTTCCAAAATGAAATGTTTTGACAAATTCCTTGTACTTCCTAAAGTATTACAGAGCAGAATATTAACAAACGCCACACAATTTCTTGGTCAGGCTGCTTGCTAGAAACTTACAACTATGGTCTTAGAACTTAGTCTTTGTTTTTAAAAACAGGGTATGTGTAGCTCAGGCTGGCCTGGAACTTGCTATGTCAACCAAGCTTCCTCCGTCTCGATAGAGCTTTGCCTCTCCCCAGAGTCCTGGGATTAGAATGGGTACCAGTGACTTGGCAGCTTTGTGAGTTAAGTGATGCCAGGAACTCAGTCTGGTTCATGCTTTGCTCTTTGCAAATATTTAGTTCATAACAAATAGAAAATTAACATACAGCAGGTCTCATAGTGTTGAAAGACTTAACTATGACATTTTGTTTGTTTTTTTCAAGACAGGGTTTCTCTCTGCAACTGCCCTGGCTGTCCTGGAACTTGCTCTGCAGACCAGGCTAGCCTCGAACTCAGAGATCTGCCTCTGCCTCCCCATTCCTGAGCACTGGGGCTTGTGCTACCACTGCCACATGGCTGACACTTTTATTGTGTGGGGTAGGACAGACCGATGAGGATGTCAATAATACAGACACAAACCAGGTACCCATCCCTCCTCACTCTCAAGCTCCGAAATCCAGCCCTAACTGGATAGACAGGAGGAGATGCTCTAACCTGTTTTTAAATAAGCAGACTAGTTTCTCTTTTTTACATACACCCCTCAGCACCCTTCCTGTGTGCATTCATTTATTTTTGTGTGCAGGCCAGAGGACAAGTTGGAGGAGTTGGTTCTCTGTCCACCAAGCAGACCCAAGGGATTGCTCTCAAGTTGTCAGCTTCCTAGCCTTTCTCCTGAGCTATCTCATTGAACTAGCTTTACTACTATTCCAGTTGAATCAGGATCTCAAGGTGGAGCCCTTCAACACCTCTTCGGGTTATTAAATGTACATTCCCAAGTGTCCTTGTTTAGCACTCCGTTTTGCATTTCACATGTAGTGAGAAAACTTTGTAAAAGGACTGCGAGGGCCTTTAGCACAGCACTCAGAGCAGACAGATGAACTCTTGGGAGTTCAAAGCCAGCCTGGACTACAGGTAAGTCCCAGGCCAGCCAGAGCTACCAAGGAGACCCTGCCTCCAAACAAATAAAAAAGGAGTACCAGTAGTTGAAAAACACGAAGGAATATCGAGAATCTTAAAGAACATTAGAAATACCGTTAGAAATAAGTTAGGGGTGCAGTGAATGCGGAGTTAGGAATAAGTCAGGGGTGTAATGAATGCTGAGTTTGTGGCTTACCACTGGGCTATGCCCTCTGCCTAAGAACCATCTTGTCCCTGTTTAAGGATCGATGTCGATTTTGAAGTCGGATTCAGGTGTATGGAATATTAATGTACTACTGGCAAATTAGTCACAAAGGCTTCCTTGGGTCAGTTGTCTTTAATAATAATCAGCCTCTTAGGACGGGGCACAAGCGGGTGACCAGTCACCCTGGCGACAAAATGCTCTTTTCCCCTGGCAGAAAGAGCCCTCGAGGGCGTTCAATCTGCGACAAAAACCGCCTTTCCCCATTCTGCAAGCACGCGGGGCCTACTGCACCATCTAGCTTCCGCTGCGCGTCACTTTCCCTTCCGGGTCGGGACCCCAGCGATTTCCAGGCTTGCGTACTGCTGTTCGAACGCCGGCCCCGCCCCCACCCCGTTGCCAGGGCGTCGGGCGGCTCAGAGCCGCCAAAGTCGGCCTGGAGAGGAGGCGTGGTGTCCTGCGGCCGGCTGGGGGGGGACTACAGAATGGGCTGAGTCGGCGGCGGCTCTCAGGACAAGGTGGACAGCCCGGCGGGAGGCGTGACCCGGGTTGTGGCTGTTTAGGCTGTGGCCTTCAGGAGAGGGCGGGCCGCGTGGGCAGATGCGGTACCGAGGTGGGGGTTCCCACGCTTGTGGACCGTAGCTGGTCACAAGAAACCCGCAATGTTTGTTAGAGGGACTTTTTAACCTGCCTTCCTTCGTCGTTGCTGTTTTTTTGAAAAGGGAACTTGTTTTCTAAATCCCGTATTCTAAAATGATTCCTGAATTAAGCGCGAATCAGACCTCCCTTAGTCCCAAAATGCTAAATTAATGCAGGACACCCATGTATTGTGGTGAAAATTGGAACTTCTCCGACAACCTAAGAGTTCCCAGGAACAGGCTGTGCTGCAGCCAGCTCTCCTAGATTTTGTTCTTATATTTGAAAGTAGGGGGTTATCGACTCTACAGTACATTATCCAGCTTGAAAATTTAAAGCATGAACTTATAACATTTTCTTTATTTCTGTGAAGCAGAAGCCCGGCTTGAAAATGGAGATGTATGAAACTCTTGGAAAAGTGGGAGAGGGAAGTTATGGAACGGTCATGAAATGCAAACACAAGGATACTGGGCAGATAGTGGCCATTAAGATATTCTATGAGAAACCAGAAAAATCTGTCAACAAAATTGCAACGAGAGAAATAAAGTTTCTAAAGGTTTGTTTCTTTTGCCTTTTATTGTATATATATATATAATATATATATATTTCCCATTGGAATTCATCTTGCTATGAAGTCCAGACTGGCCTGGAACACTTATTTTTTCCAGTGCTGAGATTTACAGGCTACGTTACAACACCGGGCTTCTTTTGCCTTGATTATGTAAGTCAAGCGAGAAATTGTTGTAGAATGAAGATAAAATGTATGAAAGAACATTTCCATTAACAATATACTGCATAGAGAAATTCTCATTACCTATAGTTTGTAATTTTTAGTGATAAAAGATCTGCGTTCTTGTGTATAGCAGAATTATGATAATATTGTGAAGCTGTTCAAAACTACTCAGTTATAATGCTTAAAGACGTCTGCTTTGTACAAAGGACTGTGAAAGAAGCTGAGACTAGAAAGAAGTAAAAATTTGTTCCTTAATGACTTATGACTAGACAGGAGGTGTACAAAAGATAATCCTAATAAGAGTGACTCATGCTGAGCCAGAGAGATGGCTCTGTGGTTCAGAGCACTCGCTGCCCTGGGAGAGGACTAGCGTCAGTCCTCCGGATCCACATCAGAAGGCTCACAACTGCCTGCACCTCCAGCTCCCGGGAGACACCTGCAGGCTTGTGTGCGGAACCACATAACCACACAGGTTTTTTGTTTTGTTTTGTGTTTTTTAATGGTTACTATTAAATTCCACACACTTCTGTTTGGCTGGGAAGGGTTCTTGCAGAAAATATGCTGTGTTCTTGGCCTTGAAGGATGTGTAGCATTTGGGTGAAGTGGAGCTACTACTGAGTTCCAGAACAACATAAGCATAGAAAGACAAGAACAACAGCAAGAGTGGAAAGGAAAAGAACAAATACTTGTCTATGAGTTTCTTGTATAGAATTAGAATTCTATTCTAATTAGTGCCGTAAATTGGAAGTAGATTTTAAAGCGTTTTAGGCTAAGAAGTCAGAACTTGGTTTGGGCTTGATCTGGAGTAGCTCCATTGGTAGACTGCTGGCCAAGCATGTCCGAAGCCCTGGGTTTGGTCCCCAGAACCACATAAAACTGAGTACGTGCAATCCTCTGCTATATATTAACTTCCAAGCCAGCTTGGGGTACGTCACACCCTGACTCAAAGACACAAACCTGATTTTTTTAGGAGATGGAAAATGAAGGTTTGAGTTAATTGTAAAGAATCCCTGTTAGGTAGTCAGGTGGTGATGGTGCGTGCCTTTAATCCCAGCACTTGGGAGGCAGAGGTAGGCAGATATCTGTGAGTTTGAGATCAACCTAGTCTACAAGAGCTAGTTCCAGGACAGGCTCCAAAGCTACAGAAAAACCCTGTCTTTAAAAACTAAAAGAATAAAAAATCCGCTAGGTATTAATCTATCAGTACTCTGTAGAATATATCAGAACACTAAAATCTAAAGGGGACTGATGGGAATTTATTTCAGAAATCCTATATCATGAGGCATTTTTTTAGATTCCAGCAGTGTAAATGACATGCAGAAAGGCGTCAGAGATGTCCTTGAAGTTCAGAGAATGCTGCAGTTGAGTAAAGTGGAGGAGAATTTGAGAGCTAGTTCAATTCTGGGACTGTTGACTTGGAGATGACAGGGATATTTAACTAAAGACTATTAGGCTTCTGCAAACAGCAAGTGTCAGGAGAGATGAGGGCACTGTATGTGTGACAGGCAAAGAACTGAGGGGGTAAAGAATGTGAACATTCTTTGGGGACTGGGTCCAAAGCTAGACACCAAAACGGAAAGCAGTGCCTCCAGGTACAGGTGTTCTATCTTACAGCACTTTCAGGGCTCTCACCTTGACGTGGAGTCCAGATGTTTACACGTGATGAAGAGTACAACTGCCCTTGCCCATCTTTGTTGGTACAAAAGAAACGTTTTCTTTCTTTTTCTTTTTGGCTTTTCAAGACAGGGTTTCTCTGTGTAACAGCCTGGTTGTCCTGGACTAGCTCTTATAGACCAGGCTGGCTTCGAACTCACAGAGATCTGTCTGCCTCTGCCTCCTGAGTGCTGGGATTGAAGGCGTGCGTCACCACCGCCCAGCATTTTCTTTCTTTTTGTCTGTATTAGATAATATAAATCTAAATAGAATTCCATGCTAGCACCTGTGGACAGTTGGAACCGCTACATCTTTAGAGCGTATGAAGGAAAAGGAAAAGCTAGTAAGGACCTTACGATTTTTTTTTTAATGAAAGACACCAGTCCTTGCCTGATGAAATGAAACAGCACTGCCAGGCAGTTTGTGCTCCTTAAGTGAGAAATCAAATTAGGAAATAATGGCTTTGAACTCCTGAATCTTCTGCCACCGCCTCCATAGTGCTGACATTGCATACACCATGCCTGTTGTTTTTAATTTTTAAATTACATTTTGCCATTTATTCTGGTGTGCGCGTGATGCACATTGACAGTGCACATGTGGAGGCCACAGGGTAACTTGTGGAAGTTGGAGGGCTCTCGGTTGTCAGGCTTGACAGCAAGTGCCTTTACCCTTTGAGCCATGTAGCCTCGCAGTTTCATGTGTTGTTAGGGATCACACTCAGGGCTTTGTGCACGCTAGACAGCACTCCACCAGCTGAGTGCTAGCTCCAGCCCTATTTAGTGATATTATAACACTAACCAGTAGTGACAAGAACATGGAGATGAGCTTGAAAACATATTTTGTTATAACCGTAGGCAAATAACTTATTTGAGACAGGGTTTCATTATGCATCCTTGGGTGATTTGGAATTTGCTGTGTAGGCCAGGCTGGCCTCAAACTCACTAATCTGCCTATCTCTGCCTGCTGAATGCTGAGACTAAAGGTATGTGGGACCATGTCTGGTATATGCAAATTGTTTTAAGACACTTTGTTTCTTTTTTAAGACAGGGTCTCCCTATGTAGTCCAAGCTGCCCTGGAACTTCCTATGTAGAACAGACTAGACTCTGATTTACGGAGAGAGAGAGATCTGCTTCTCTCTGCCTTATGAGTATTGGAATTAAAGGCCTCTGACACCATTAGCACTCTAAACTATTCTCACTGACTTTGTATGGGATGTCCCACCTGCTTTCCCTCTCTTCCCGCCTTTCTTCCTTTAAAATATTTCTTTCTTTCTTTGGTTGGTTGGTTTTTCAAGACAGGGTTTCTCTGTATAACAGCCCTGACTGTCCTGGAACTCGATGTGTAGATCAGGCTGACTTCAAACTCACAGAGATCCACCTGCACCTTCCAAGTGCTGGGATTAAAGGCATGCACCATCACCTCACCTGGCTGAAATATTTTTTAAACTTAGAAGGGTTTTATTTTATGTGTATAGGTCTTTAGTCTGTATGTGTTTGTACCGTGTTGGTGCATCCCCACAGAGGCCAGAAGAGGGTGTCACAGCTCTGAGCATGAGGGTTCAGGATCAGAGACTTATGGGCTGGAGAGTTGACTTGGCAGTTAAGAGTGCTTGTTGCTCTTCCAGAGGACCTAGGTTCGATTCCTGTAGCCCACAAGGTGGGATCTGATTTTCCTTTCTCACCTCCCTGGGCACCAGTCATGCACCTGATGTACAGACATAAATGTAAAATATATGTCTGTACATATATGTACATATATTTTACACATATTTATACACATAAAATTGTAAAAGAAATAAACCTAAAAGAACCAGAGACCTCTGGAAGATGTGCCAGTTCTCTTAACCACCATTTTATCTCTCCAGGCCCCTTCTTTTTACACCAAATTTTATTGCATAGTCCAAACTAGCCTGGAACTCATTGTATAGCTCAGGCTGGCCTCAAACTCTTCCTCATTCTGCTTCATCTTCTGTAGTCCTGGGATTACAGGCACGTGCCACTGCATACCGCTAATATTCTTAACCTAAAATGATTGCCCAAATAACTAAATTTTAATGGTAGAATCTGATTAAATTGCTGACACAGCAGTTAGAATATCTGTGAAAGGTTGTCTAGTAATAGAGAAAAATATAATTAAATACACACAAAGAAAGAAGACCCCTACTCTTTTTGTTTGTTCCTTACTTCCTCCACTATTTTGCCTTTAAAATAAAGACTAAGGGCTGGAGAGATGGCTCGGCTGTTAAGAGCTTTTGTTCTTGCAGAGGACCTGGATTTGATTCCCATCACACACATGGTGGCTCACAACCATCTGTAACTTCATTTCCAGGGGTGAGAACGAGGCTGCACATGTGTACGGACATACATGCAGATCAGACACCTATACTCATAAATAAGCCTATAGGAATATACATTAGAGGTCGTACAGAAAGCCAGCAGTTTTCCCTAGGTGGGCCATTTGTGTGGTGTCTGAAAGCACTGACCCTCCGCTGTCCCTTCACTGCTGCCACTGTGTTATTGCCGCGGCCGCACCACAGCATCTTACTAAACAGGGAAATAGAGAGCAAAAATAGGAAAGGAGCCAGGCGGTGGTGGCGCACTTTAATCCCAACACTCGGGAGGCAGAGACAGATGGATCTCTGTGAGTTCAAGGCCAGCCTGGTCTATAAGAGCTAGTTCGAGGACAGACTTCAAAGCTACAGAGAAACCCTGTCTTCAAAAAAACCCAAAAATTTAGGAAAGGAATCTGGAATTGTATTTTGGCAAAAATTTCTACCAGTTATGTTTCAAGGATTTTAGTCTCTGCTAGTCGCAGGAAAGTAGAAAACTTGACGTTATACCACTAGAATAAAAGCATTTTCTTAAAAAAAAATTATAGTTTAGCCGGGCGGTGGTGGCGCATGCCTTTAATCCCAGCACTTGGGAGGCAGAGGCAAGCGGATCTCTATGAGTTCGAGACCAGCCTGGTCTACAAGAGCTAGTTCCAGGACAGGCTCCAAAACCACAGAGAAACCCTGTCTCGAAAAAACCAAAAAAAAAAAAAAAAAAAAAAAAAAAAAAAAAAAGTTTGCGGGGTTGGCTCAGCGCCTAGGAGTCCTCGCTGCTTTTCCAGAGGACCTAAGTTCAACCCAGTAGCCATATGGTGGCTCACAACCATCCATATTGAGACCTGGTGCCCTCTTCTGTCCTGCAGACAGACATATAGGCACAACACTGTATACATCATAAATGAATAAATTTTTAAAATAAATTATAGTTTACTAGTGAATATAATAATGAAATATACTCATTTTAATCCAAATTTATAAATATTTTGTTAATTTAAAAAGTGGTTAAATATTTCAAAATTGATTGTAGCAAGGAAAATAGTTGAAAAAATAGAATAAGCTACTTAAATATTAAGCTTTATTTGTCTTCTACGCTGCTACATGGCAATTATTTAAAAGCACTTATTTGATGTATGTGTTTGTTTGAAGTGCGTGTGTACCTGAATGTCAGAGATCAGGTTGGGTGTCTGCCTCTTACCACATTCTACCTTATTTTTGGAAACAATCTGTCATTGAATGTGAAGCTATCAGTTGAGCTTGAAATGGCTGAGCAGTGAGCTGCCCCTCTATCCACCCAACTTTACCTTCCCCAGTGCTAGTTACAGGCGCCTACTGCTATGTCTGGTTATCTGTGGTTGCTAGGGATTGAACTCAGGTACTTGGGTACATACCAAGCATTTTCCCACTAAGCCATCTTTCCAACTCCTTAAAATTATTTTTGACAGTGGTTGTTAGAAGCACAAAAAAAGAATTTTTGTTTTAAAAATTACTTATTTAATTTTTGTTTGCATGAAATGAAGATCTCGCTGTGTATTGCCCAGACTGGCCTCAGATTTATCTTCCTGTCTCAGCCTCCCGAGTATCTGAATAAAGGGTGTTTCATTTCTTAGTAGAATTGTAGAATAAAAAATGAATGAAAAAACCAAATATTTGCATATTTATGCTATTTCCATGGTTATAAATTATTTCATGTATTTGAAGACTTTAAAACATATTTTGATATTCTTTTGATTATCAAGTGAATTAAAAATGACCCTTAGAACTTATGGTTTAGTCTCTACAATTTAGGACCAAAATTAGAGAATACGTTATATAAATTTATATCATATGCTCACTGATGTTGAAATATACGTGTGGGCTGGAGAGATGGCTCAGTGGCTAAGAGCACTTGTTCTTGCAGAAGACCCAGGTTTGCTTCCTGGCACCCACATGGTGATTCACAACCATCCTTAACTCCAGTTCCAGGGGATCCAACATCACCCTCTTCTGACCTCTGGGTACCAGGAGTGCACATGATGCACATGTATGCGTATAGACCAGCACACATACATAAATTGTAAAAGTGTAAAAATCCATGCTCATCTGAAATATGAGGACCCTAGGGGCTAGGTACACTTAGCTCAGCATGTGAAAGATCCCAAGTTCAGTTTCCAAAAAATAAAACACCTGCTGATAAATGTGGTGGTTTATGTCTTTAGTCCCAGCGCCCAGCACTCCAGAAGCTGAGATGGAAAGGTTGTGAGTTCTGGTCTATCCTGGGGTACATAGTAAGCCCTTGTCTCTAAAAATAAAAAGAAACAACAACAACAACAAAATTAGTAAATATGAAACAAGGTTCATTTTATTTTATTTATTGATTTTTATTTGTTTCGTTTTGAGACCATCTCACTCTGTAGCTCTGCCTAGCCTGGAACTCCCTGTGTAAACTAGGCTAGCGTTGAACTCAAAGATTGGCCCGCCTCTGCCTTCCAAGTGCTGGATGCAGTCCTCTTAAATTTCATGTGTTAAGTACAAACCAAATTAAAAGATAGCAAAAGAGTTCTCATTGTATTGAGGTACTTTAGTGCTAAATTGTTTTAATAAGCAACCTTGTCAACATGTCTCACCTTTCTCTAGAGAGCAAGAAATCACAGTGATTTTTACACATTAAGAATGTGCCAGATCACTTGAGACGTTCCTGTTAAAAGGAAAGAAGTTGAAACTCTTCCTGTTTTTTTTTTCTCCAAAATTATATAGGTGTTTGAATGAATTACTGCTTGAAACAATTTTATTTTAAACTCTGTTTCTTTTGTTAATAGCAATTTCGGCATGAAAACCTGGTCAATCTGATTGAAGTTTTTAGACAAAAAAAGAAAATTCATTTGGTATTTGAATTTATTGACCACACAGTCTTAGATGAGTTGCAACATTACTGTCACGGACTAGAGAGTAAGCGACTGAGAAAGTACCTGTTCCAGATTCTTCGAGCGATTGAGTATCTTCACAATAATAATGTAAGTGCTTCAGAGGGAGCCCAGCTGGGACGGCTATGACTCACAAGTGCCATTTGAATAGTTCTGTTTTTAATGGAGGTTGTTAAGATTTTTCTGTGTATAATACTAATGGACTTCCTGAAACTGAAAAGGGGGATATTGCTTTTCAGCTTATTTGCAGAACCCAAAAGCATTTATTGAGTACTTAGTAATTGGAATGATAAGGTGGGCTGAGTCTGAGGTACTGTTAGTTTCCCATAGGCTGTGACGAAAATAACTGTGAGGATAACTTAAAGAGAGGAAATACTGGGGGCTGGAGAGATGGCTCAGAGGTTAAGAGCACAGGCTGGTCTTCCAGAGGTCCTGAGTTCAATTCCCAGCAACCACATGATGGCTCACAACCATCTGTAATGAGGTCTGGTGCCCTCCATGCCAGAACACTGTATAATAAATAAATAAGTAAGTAAATAAATAAATAAATAAAGCCAGCCTGGGATTAAAAAAAAAGAGAGAGAGGAAATACTGCTTTGCCTCATGACTTCAGAGGTTTCAGCCCATGATTCTCTTCAAGCATCATGCCTTCAGGAGCATGGGACAGTGTGCTAGTCTCATGGTAGACAAGCAACAGAAAGAGAAAGGGTCCGAGACAAGGACATGCCCTGGTGACCCATTTCTTGCTAGATACCCCCCTGAAGTTTCCCGAGCCTCCTCCACCAGCAGCAGTGGGGATTGCTCTTCAATGAAATGAGCCTTTTTGAAGGGGACACTTCATATCCAATCAATGGCAGATGCTAAAAGCAGTATCAATGATTTGGTTTTAAGGACTCATCAGTGAACTGAAGAATATCTCTGAGAAAAATGCATCAAAATGTTGAAAGTCAGAGCTGTGCTTTCATGAAGATTCCTTTCAATGAAGGGAGGTTTGGGGCCAGGGGATGGCTATTAGGAATGGTAAGTCAGGTGATCTGTGGAAGGCAGAGCAGGTGTCCATCACTCAACCTGTAAAAAAATATTGAGAAAAAAGCCCAACTGATTTCTAGTACTGACTTCAGTGTTAAGTAGTAATGTTGCTCATCAGGTTTTTGGTGACATGGCCTTTATGTAGTCCTTGCTGTCCTGAAACCTGCTTTGTTGACCAGGCTGGCCTTGAACTCACAGATCATCCTGTCTCTGTCTCCTGAAGGCCGGGATTAAAGGCATATGCTGCCAAAGCCCAGCCTAGCTTAGCAGTTTTTGTGACACTTTATTTTTTTCAGATGCCTGACTTTCTGGAAAGTAGTCAGGAAATAGCGATACATTATATATTCAGAAAAAAATAGTAAAATCCTCAAAAATATTTTGTTTTTGTCTTATGAAACAAGGTTCTCAATGGGTAGCCCAGGCTAATGCCAAACTCAGTATGTATCTCAGGTTAGCCTCAAGCTCCAGGTCTTTTTGCCTTAGCCTTCAGAGTACTGAGATCACAGTGGGAGCCACCCACTATTGCATCCGCAATCGTTTTGTCTAGTTGATACTGGTACAGCTGTATACTCCAGGATTTCTCTGATGGCTTTTACTGCTTTGATTTGCTAATAATGCCACATATTTCATGGCTTTGAAAACTGTTGTGGGGCTGCAGAGATGACTCAGAGGTTAAGAGCACTGACTGCTTTTCCAGAGGTCCTGAATTCAATTGCCAGCAACCACATGGTGGCTCACAACCATCAGTAATGAGATCTGGTGCCCTCTTCTGGCCTGAAGGTATACATGCAGGAAGAACCCTGTATATATAATCAATAAATAAGTCTTTATTTAAAAAAGAAAAAACTATTGTGATAGCAATTGGAGTTGACATGGTAATGTCCTTGCCAGCTAGATCCAAGATGAGGTAGTTGTGAGACCATCAGGTGCATATAGTGCTGGGTATGTGGTGCAGACTTACTCAGCAGGCCAAGGCAGGAGGGTCACTGCAAGTTCAGGCCAGCAGTGCTGCTTGATCAGACCCTGTCTCAAAAATGAAGCACACTAACCAATCTTCACCACAATTTATCTCTGAAAACCTACATGATTTGTGGAACCAGAGCTGACAGCGCCATGATTCCATATCCTGGAGATTTAACATTCTTTGTTTGATTCATTTGTTTTGAGACATGGTCTCTCACATAGTTCTGGCTGTCCTAGAACTCACTGTGCAGACCAGGCTGGCCTCAAACTCACAGAGAGATGCCTGCCTGCCTTTGCTTCCTGAGTGCTGGCACTCAGGACAACCTTCTCAAGCTTCCCTTTATTGTCTGTAAAATAACATGACCTTATGCCACTGACCTTAAATACCAAATAACCCACCAGGTGGTGGTGGCACATGCCTTTAATCCCAGCATTCAGGAGGCAAGAAGCAGGTGGATCTCTGAATTCAAGGCCAGCCTGGTCAGGACTACACTGAGAAACCTTGTCTTAAAAAACCAAAAAAGAAAAAATAAAATACCAAATAGGGTGTAGATAGAATGTGCCCCCTCCCACACACACATCTTCCAGACAAATTGAAAGTAGTGCATGGTTTCTGCAAGGAGTGTGGCCAAACAGTAAAAGTCTGAGGAAGAGGTAAAGTAAGTTGGATTGAAATGTAGCTAGGATTTGTTAGAGGAGAGAAGTGCACACAGGCTGCTGCTGTAGGATGGACGTCAACTTGAGCAGGGGACTTTGGAGAGTGGTGATAAATCAGGGAGGAGGAGACGTGATTGCAGAGTTGCTCTGGACAGGCTTTTTCCCAGAGCATGCACATACAAAATCAAATGTATAAGCATTTCGGAGAAGCCACAAGGGACAGTGAGGATGCTCAGTAGGTAGCAGCACTTGCTGCCAAGGCTGACAACACAACTCCTGCTGGTCTCTCACACACTGGCACACATGCACCCTCCCACACAGAGAGACTCACTAAGAAAGGAGTGTTGTGGTGCTCTCCTTTAATCCCAATGCTCCAGAGGCAGAGGCAGGCAGACTGCAGCCTAGTCTATATAGTGGGTCTCAGGACAGCCAGCGCTTCAAAGTGAACCCGTCTCAGAAAAGAATGTCAAATGAGACCCACTGTATTATACAAGTACTATATGCTTACCAAAAAGGAATAAGTAAGTAACCCGATTTAAAGGTTGCTCACCAAGGACAGTGTTGGCTTCTTGGAAACATAGCTACTGAGTTACTGAGAGCTCTGTTTCCTGATTTTTTTCTTTTTTGAATGCCCCTTAGTTTTTGTTGAAAACAGGATATTTAAAATAATGTGACAATTACAGAAATCGGAGTTTCCCATCCCTGTCTGGGCTTATCTCCCCACCCTACGCTCACCTGCTAAGTAGGTGTGGCTGGTCTGGAACTCATGGTGATGATCAAGTGGCCTGTCACTTGCTGAGGTTCTCCTGCCTTTGTCTGTCCAAGCACAGGCATGATGGCAAGGTGTGAGTCACAATACTCACTTTTTTTTAGTTAATTTTCCTGTACTTTAAATAAGAATTATATTTATATCTTATGTATGAGTGTTCTGCATGTACACCTGCAGGCCAGAAGAGGGCATTAGATCCTACTATATAGATGGTTGTGAGCCACCAAGTAGCTGATGGGAATGGAACTGAGGACCTCTGGAAGAATAGCCAGTGCTCTTAACCCCTGAGCCATCTCTCCATGCCCCACTTTAAAGTTCTGAGTCTGCAATCTTTGTCATGTCTGCTCAGTTCAGTGGTCAGCTAGTGAGTGGACGGAGTTTTAAAGTGAACTCACTTCTTTTTTCTCTGTCCTAGTTTCTACCCTCAGCTCCAGGAAACCGGTAACTCTTATAGATAGGCTATATAGATAGGCTCTTATATGGATAGGCAATATAGATTATAGATAGGCTCTTGCTGAAAATTTCTCATAAATGAACAGTCTTACGCATGGTTTCCTTCACCTTAGTGTAAGAGTGCAGAGTCTTCTGCACTGGGACATGTATTGGTACTTTGTTCTGTTTAGATGTTGAGTGCTTCTCTAGTGTAGATACAGCATACACCAGCTGCTGGACTTTTAGCTTGTTTCTAGTTCAGGCCTTATAAATAATATTGCTGTCAACAGCTTTGTTTTATTTATTTTGGTGGTGGTAATTTTAAATAAACTGCCACTGGGCAGTGGTGGCGCATGCCAACTCTCAGCACTCAGGAGACAGAGGTAGGCGGATCTCTCTGAGTTCAAGATTAGCCTGGTCTACAAAGTGATTTCCAGAGAAACCCTGTCTCCAAAAACTAAAAAGAAAGGAAGAAGCCGGGTGGTGGTGGCGCACACCTTTAATTCCAACACTCAGGAGGCAGAGGCAGGCGGATCTCTGTGAGTTTGAGGCCAGCTTGGTCTACAAGAGCGAGTTCCAGGACAGGCTCCAAAAGCTACAGAGAAATCCTGTCCTGGAAAAAAAGAAAGGAAGAAAGAAAAAAAAAAAGAAAGAAAGAAAGAAAGAGAAGGAAGAAAGAGAGAGAAAGCAAGAAAGAGCCAAACTGTTTTCCTAAGTGACAGTATCAACTTGGAGTCTTGTGAATGCTGAGCAGGGTCTGTACCCCTGAGGTACACTCCCAGCCCTGTGACTGTCACTTTTATTGTAGCTAGTGTAATAGTTATACCATGGCATTATTTTTGAGTTGGATAAAGCATACTGTCTTTATTCACAGATAACATGTTATTTACATAGAAAATTCCCACAGCAAAGAAGATCATTTCTAAATCCTTTTTTTTTTTTTTTTTTGGTTTCTCTAGACAGGGTTTCTCTGTGTAGCCCTGGCTGTCCTGGAACTCACTTTCCAGACCAGGCTGGCTTCAAACTCAGAGACCCTACTGCCTCTGCTTTCCAGGACCTGGGATTAAAGGTGTGCACCACCACCATCCAGATGCTTTTCTATACATTAGCAACAAGTAATCAGAAATTAGACTTTTTGGGGTACAGTTAGGGTCTGGTAATGTAGATTAATTGGTAGAGTGCTTGCATGTGCTTGGTTTGATCCCCCCACACTACATAGAACTGAGCATGGTGGCACACTCCTGAAATCCCAGCACTTGGGAGCTGGAGGCTGGAGAGTCAAAAACATGTGGGCGGAATACAGGAAACCCTGCCTGAAGTAAAATGAAATGCCATTTATAGCATCAAAATATCCTATAACCTAACAAACCTTGACAAAAGATGTGTCAGATCTGGAAGGTAAACTTGTAGAGAAGTACTGACGCAGTCTGACCGGTGGAAAGACAGTTTTTAATGGACTGTGTGACAGCGACAGGCCAGAGTGTCTCAAGTCCACGAACCACATTCAGACGTCAGCTCAAGATAGACTAAAGGCGCTAATGTGAGGCCCGAGGCTAAGGCTAAAAGAGAACGGTTGTGTGACAGATGAGACCAAGCTCAAATGTAGTCAAGGGAAAATGTACAGCATGAGGAAATAGCTTCCAGAATGGGAGGAAATGGAAACCAATGAAGAGCTCAGATAACTCAATAAGTAAATAGAATAACTAACGATGAGCGAAGGAAAGAAGTAGGCCAGGCATGTAGGCAGACAGGTATATGAAGAAGTACTCAAAATCTGTCATCATCAGAGAAATTTAAACGATGGAAGTCACTGCTCGAATGGTCATTGCAGAAGTGGCAATTAGAATGCGGAGAAAAGGAAACCCGCGCAGATGCCAGTGTAGCGTGAATTCCTTGGACACTACAGTGTCCTCAGTGTTTAAAGCAGGAACTTGTGGGTAACCATAGTCTCTCTTCTGGGTGTGTATGGAAAGGAAACATTAGTTGGTCCGAGATACCTGCATTTGCTTCCACCGTAGCACATTCACAGTAGGCAAGTGTGCCGTGCATCTAAGTGTCCGGCTGTAGGTGAGTGGGCGCAGAGAATGCAGTGCGGTACTGAGACTTGGTGATAGGGCGCAGTAACATTTGGGACAGTGTGGGTAAATTGAGGATATTATGTCACACGCAAAATCTTAAAAAGGAGGCTGAGAGAGATTCCTGTCAAAGCCTACCAAATTTCAGATAGGAGTAAGTTCACAAGATTTTTTTTTTACAACATGGTTGCTCTAGTAAGTGACTATCATGTTATTGAAATTGCTAAGAATAGATTTGAAGGTCTTTTGTGCAAAAATTAGGTGAGAGGTTTGTCTAATTTAGTCACTCCTTGGTGGACTTTTTTTTTTTTTTTTTTTTTTTTTTTTTGAGACAGGATATCTCTATTTAGTTTGGCTGTCCTGGAACTCACTATGTAGACCAGGCTGACTCTAATTCACAGTGATCCTCCTGTCTTGAACTTCCAAGTGCCAGGATTAAAGGCATGTGCCACCATGCCCAACTTTTTGGGTATATTTTAATAGAGTATATGCAACTAATATATGTAATTTATGTCGGTTAAAATATTCTCTTATTCCGTAAAACATTATTAAAAAGAGAGGTGCTGAGACTGAAATGGGTCAGTCGGTATTTGGAAAGAAACACATGAGTTTGTGGTCTCCAGAACCGAGTGATGGAAATGGTCCGCAGGAAGAGACAGAGCCTAGTGTCCCATGAGACCAGAGTGCAAAGTTATGCTTGCCTACATAGTGAGTTGAAGGATAGCCTGGGTTCCATGAGACCCTGTCTAAAAACAAAACCAAAAACACAACAGGAAGCCAGGGGAGTGAGATGGAAGGGGGAGAAAGGAGAGAGAAGAGCATGATATTGCGAATGGAAAGTGGGAGACAGTCCTACATTTAAGGGACAGAGAAAGAAAGTTCTAGGCAAAGAAGAGACTTTTTGGTCCCAGGACTGCAGAGTAGAAGAGTGTTTGATAATATACTCACACTAAGAAATGAGTAAGGTAAAGGATTGAGAGGGCCATCAGTGTGCAAATAGTGTCAATGACTTTGTCCAGAGCAGTCGAGCGCAGCATGGTCAGCAGAGGGCAGGGTAGTGCACAGTATTCTTCCGAGGACTGGCTGTGAAGACAGTGGGTACCAACTGGGTCAAAGCAAAGCTCAACTTTGTCTCACCAAGTCCCTTTCATTCTTAGAGTGGGATTTATGCAGCAGACTTTCTTGGACTGCCAGCCCCCAAATCATGACACAGAGATGACCTATTAGTTATGAATATGCGGCCTTGGCTTAGGCTTGTTCTGCTAGCTCTTACAACTTAGTTTTATCTGCTTCTCTTCAGCTATGTTTTGCCTCAGGGCTTTTTACTTTTCTTTCATTCTGTATGTCTTACTTTTTCTGCTTTTTCATGGGAGTCTGGCTGGCAGCTGCCTGGCTGCCCCCAAGTGTCTCCCTTTCTCCCTTGTTCTCTCCTTTTCCCTCTAGAGCCCAGATTCCTCCTCCTACTTATTCTCTTTGCCCGATAGCCCTGCCTATCCCTTTCCTGCCTAGCTATTGGCCATTTAACTTTTTATTAGACCAGTCAGGTGCCTTAGGCAGGCATGGTAAAAACAGCAACACATCTTTACATAATTAAATCAGTGCAGTATAAACAAATGCAACACATCTTTACACAGTTAAAGTAATATTGCACAACAGATTTACCTTTTCTGTGTCTGTTTTGGCTTCATTTTGTTTGGAAGTAATGAATGGAGAATATGTAACGTTTTTTTTTCCATGATTAGGAAATGTCTTCCCTATCTTAGCTGTGAGCTAGACTTGTCTTTGAAGAGTTTTGGATTCTATATAAAATGAAACCCCATTTTAATATATTAAATTTCTGTTTGTTTTTAGATTATCCATCGAGATATAAAGCCTGAGAATATTTTAGTCTCTCAGTCAGGGATTACTAAGCTCTGTGATTTTGGGTTTGCAAGGACGTTAGCAGCTCCTGGGGATGTCTACACAGACTATGTGGCCACTCGCTGGTACAGAGCTCCAGAACTGGTGTTAAAAGATACCTCTTACGGAAAGTACGTATACTTTGGGAACGCACCTGGCTTCTCCCAGGTGTGTCATTTTCCCTCTGCTGTTCACTCCCTGCCATCTGTGTCTGGCTTTGGTCAAGGAAGAGGGATACCTTTAAAGGCACCCAGAGGACGCTGTGGGCACCTGTGCTACTGGTGACTGTGTCTGTACTTACACTAGAGGGTTTAGACGGTGGCAGCTGCTGGAGGCCTGGGCGCATGTTCTTGCACTGTTTCCAGGCTTGCGTTAGTCTGTGCCATACTTCTAGCAGTGTTGTCTCCTCTCTTGATGTTCTGCTTCTGTGTTCTGCAACAGTTAAAAAAAATTATATATTTTTTATTTATAGGTGGGGCCCATGGTATGCATATGGGGGTTAGAGGACAACTTGCAGGACTTAGTTCTTTCCAACTGTGTGGGATCCAGCTCAGGTTTTCAGACCCAGTGGCAGGTACCTTTGCCTGCTGAGCCCCTCCAAAGATTCTTCAATCATTTACCATAATTCTGTGTTGAAACAGGATCTACCAAGTTTCCTTTTTCTTGGAAAAAGTTACACCTTCCTTTAAAAATTGTGCTTTTTAAAAATTGTGCTATTCTGGATAACTCATAAAGGAGCACAGTCCCTCAGTCAATATCCTACAGTGAAAAATTGTTTGTAAATAATACCACTTAAACATTATCCCTCCCCACTCCATCCCTTGGTTTTGAAACAGGGCCTCACTGTGTAGCTTTGGATGGCCTTGAACTCAATACGTAGACCAAACTGGCCTCCAAACCACAGATACCTGCCTGTTTGTGCCTCCCCAGTGCTGGGATTTAAGACATACACCAGCACTTGTGGCTTTCCCCCTTTTTGGATTTATTAATCAGATGACATAATGGCATCTATTGGGACGTTTTCTTGCATGTACACACTTTGGTTGTGTTCATCTGTCCTTAGTTTCTCTTCTCTTTTTCCACTTCTGCTGGCAAACATTCTTTCTTTTTAGCTTTGATCTGATATAAATGTCTTTAGAGTAGTTGTTATACATATTTGTTTCTGACAAAGTAATTTACTCTGTGGTAAATTTTTTTCCAGACCAGTGGACATCTGGGCTTTGGGCTGTATGATCATTGAGATGGCCACTGGCAATCCCTACCTTCCTAGCAGTTCAGATTTGGATTTGCTCCACAAGATTGTTTTAAAAGTAGGTAGGTATTACTGAAATACTCTGCTACCTGTCTAAGTAACTGCTTCCAGATCAGCTGTGCCTGATACCCATATTTAGGGGATGAACACTAAGGAAGTGCCTTGTGAGACAGATGATGGCAGATGGGTTTCCATGCTGATAAAGAAGGCAGAAAATTGTTTTGACAAATAATAACTTCTTTGCAGGAACTCAAACACACATGTTAATCGTTGCTGCTAAGAAAAGTATATGGTAGTAGTATACTTCACCAAGTTAGCTCTCCAGCCCCAGTACTATATATTTTTTCAAAGTTGTGCTGTTCACCAGGCAGTGGTGGCACACGCCTTTAATCCCAGCACTTGGGAGAAAGAGGCAGACAGATCTCTGTGAGTTTGAGGCCAGCCTGGTCTACAGAGAGAGTGCCAGGTCAGTTTCCAAAGCTACACAGAGAAACCCTGTCTCAAAAAACAAAGCAAAAAAAAAAGTTGTTCTGTTCTAGAACTAAAAGATGTTGGCCTCTGCAAACATCTTCTCTTCTGGACAGGGACTTTAAATAGTAAAGTGTAGACGGACATTTCTGTCCCACCTGGTCCCACAGTCATTCAGTCCCAAAGAAACACACAGAGGCTTATATTAATTATAAACTATTTGGCTTATTGCTCAGACTTATTACTAACTACCTTTTACAACTTAAATTAACCTATATTTCTTATTTATATTTAGCCCTGTGGCTTGGTGCCTTTTATCAGTGCAGCATTCTCATCCTGCTTCCTCTGCATCTGGCTGCTAACTGCATCTCTGCCTTTCCTCTTCCCAGAATTCTCCTAGTCTGCCACACCACCTATACTTCCTGCCTGGCTTCTGGCCAATCAGTGTTTTATTAAACCAGTACAAGTAGCAAATCTTTACAGTGTACAAGAGCATTATCCCACAGCAGTAAAGTTTAGTCAGATGCTTTTTTAAAGTATTGTTGATAGAAAATCAATTATTTGCTAATAATCCTTTTAATAAGATCTATTTTGTCTTAATTGTGTGTGCATCTCTGTGTGGGTGTGTGGGTATGTGCATTTAAGTGCTGGTGCCCAGAGACCAGAGGTGCGTTGGATCCCCTGGAGTTGGAGTTATACAGTCAACTGTAAACCACCAGAGGTGGGTGCTGGGAACCAAACCTGGGTCCTCTGGAAGAGCAGAGTGTCCTTAGCCTCTGATCCATCTCTACCAGTCCCTTTAAATCATCCTCTTTATCATCAAACCCACAGTAGAAACCATGTAGCTAAATAATGTGTTCAATGATATAATTAATGAAAAGTAAAATTTAAAAGTATACTTGATAAGAGTTTAATTATCTTACAATCTGTTTTAACTACTGTCTTAGATGCTTTCCTGTTGCTCTGCAATATCTGATAAAGCAATTTAGGAGACGTCTGTTTTATTTTGACTCAAAGCCCTGGGTTACAGTCCATCAAAGAGCAGAAGTCCCAGCAGGAGCTTGAGGGTCTGATTACATCACACCCACAATCAGGAACAGAGACTAACAAATGCTTTCAAGTTGCTTGACTCCCTCCCTCCATTTCTACAATCCTGGACCCAGCCATGGAACATTCCCATCCATAATAGGGGGTCAATTAATGTAATCAAGATATTTCCCCAGGGCATCCCCAGAGGCTTCCTGGTAGTTGGCAATTAACACTGATCACCATAACTACCTACACATTTGGAAGTTAGCTTTGCACACAGTATTTTAATCTGAAGGAGGAGCTTGAGGAGCCCCAAGTGTGCCGGAGAAACTCTTCATAAACACATCATTGCAGGATTCTGAGGAAGAAGGTACTGGGAACAGTCATCAAAGCAGTAAAACCTGGATTAACATTGATTGAAGATGCTTTAAGATTAATAAAAGACAGAGCCTTGAAGCATCCACTTTATGTGCCTTTTTAAAGTCCTGTTATGAGACTGTGTTAGAAGAGAGCTGTCTGCCTCTGCTTCTTGAGTGCTGGGATTAAAGATGTATGTTACCACCACCTGGCTTTATTGTTCTAGCTATTTTGAGTATGGTTTTGGTTCAAAAGCTGCTGAACATCTGACAGTTAAACCATTAAGAAACAAACAGAGAAGTATGTCAAGATGGGTGGTGGTGGCGCACGCCTTTAATCCCAGTATTTGGATGGCAGAGGCAGGCAGATCTCTATGAGTTCGAGGCTAGTCTGGCTTACAGAGCAAGTTCCAGGACAGCCAAGAACAGCTAAGGCTATAAAGAAACCCTGTCTCTAAAAGCAAAAAAGAAATAAATAAAGAGAAACATGTTAAATTTTTAAGAACTTTTGCTGGTAATTATATATTATGTCTTAGAGTTTGGTGTAAAAGAACCACACTGTTTTATGTGTTTTGCTGCCTCTCAATAGCTTCCTGGAGGAAACCTCAATTTTTAAAACTTACTATATTTTTTATCGAGTTGGAGATTGAACCTAGGACTTCACACTTCTAGATAAGCACTCTACTGCAGAGCTGTGTCCCTAACCTAGAACCTCTGTTTTTATGACATGTTTAGATATTTTCTTTCAACTGTAAAATAAAAACTGCGCTTTTCCTTTTCTCCCCATTCATAATTGAGAGCACATCACGTGGGATTTCTACTGGGAACAGTTTTGTGACTCAGACACTTGGTTCTCGTTTCAGGCAACCTGACCCCGCACCTGCACAATATCTTTTCCAAGAGTCCTATCTTTGCCGGGGTGGTTCTTCCTCAAGTTCAACACCCAAAAAATGCAAGAAAGAAATACCCAAAGCTCAATGGATTGCTGGCAGATATAGTTCATGTATGTTAAGACATTAAGAATGACTTAAGAATTTGCAGAAATTATAATAACATAGAGTCTTTTCTTCTCTTTGGTGTTAGAAATGGAGCCCACAGCTGGGCAAGCATTTTACCACTGAGCCGCATTCCCAGCAATAATACAGCTTTAAGGTGTTACTTGAGATTCCAGAAAGACTCCCAAAGTAATATTTATGTTACATATTACATAGAAATTAATAGAAAGAAATTAAAATTTAAGATACTGAGTGATAAATTGGGAACACTTGAAGGACTTTCCATGTTTCTCACCACCTTCGGCATCTGGTCTACCAGGCTAGGGTTGTTCTTTGTCCTGTGCTGTCCTGACTGTCTACGGAGGCATCTGTTGGCAGTTATATGAATGTTGCTGAGGGTGCACCAGTACCCAATTCACAAATTGGAGAAAACGAAAACATTTAAAGAGGTGTGTGTGTGTGTGTGTGTGTGTGTGTATGCAGTATACATACTTGACAGTATGTAGTGTGAGTGTGTGTGCACATAGATTCATCTTGTATGCATGTATTTCTAGAAGCCAAAACTTGATGTCAGGTGTCTTTCTTTAAAGTTCTCCTTGCTTTGTGGTTGTTATCTAAACAGAATCTCTTTCTGGAGTATAGCTCAGTGACACAATACACAACTAACATTTACAGGGTCCTGAGTTCAGTATCCAGCTTGGGGGGGGTGTAGAGGGAGGGAGACAGGAAGGAGAGAGGGAGATATCCCTTTCAGTGAACCTAGTATAGCTATAGTATAGGTATAGTATAGTATAGCTGCTGACCAATGAGCTTAATCCATGTGTCTCCTCCTCACTGGTGCTGGATTACAAGTCATGCAGCCATGGCATCTAAACTCAGGTCCTTAGGCTTACTGGCACTTTACCAAGACAGCCATCTCCCTAACCCTTGTTTCTTTTTTCCCCCCTTGTTTCTTATTTTAAGTTTAAATTGTATTTAAACTAAGTAGCATGTCAACACAGTACATAAGGTAGGTTTATTATGAATCTTCTTGTATTTCTCTAACCAGTGGGTTTCTTATACCAAGAGGAGTGAAGATGCTTATTTCTAGATGAGGGTTGTATGACTGTTGTTGTAGAAAATTAGTTTAAAATGTATTACATTTGTTTATGCTGTGAAATATTTGTTTAATGATGCAAAGATGTGTTGCATTCTTTTATGTTGCGTTTGTTTGACTCTGAAAAGCTGTGTTACTTTGCCTGCCTCAAACACCTGATTGGTTTTAATAAAGAGCTGAATGGCCAATAGCTAGGCAGGAGAGGGAGGATGGGTGGGACTAGCGGGCAGAGAGAATAAGTAGAAGAAGAAGAAAGGAGCAAGAAAAGGAAGAGAGGAGGATGCCAGGGTTCAGTCACACAGCCACACAACCAGCCACGGAGTAAGAAAGAAAGATATAGAATAAAGAAAGGTAAAAATACAAGGCCCAGAGACAGAATGTAGAAGAGAATTGGGATAATTTGAGTTAGAAAAGCTGGCTAGAAACAAGCCAAACTAAGGTTGGGCATTCATAAGTAAGAATAAGTCTGTCTATTTATTTGGGGTCTGGGTGGCAGGCCTCCAAAAAGTAAAAGCAAGAGCAAAAGCTATCCCCCCCCCCCCGAAAAAAAATTACAGACTGCAGTAAAGACCTTTTCTCTAACATACAGCTCTTTTTTATTTTTTATTTTTTTAAATATTTTTTTATTTTTATTTATTATGTGTACAGCATTCCTTCCATGTGTGCCCCACAAGCCAGAAGGGGGTGCCAGGTCTCATTACAGATGACTGTGAGCCACCATGTGGTTGCTGGGAATTGAACTCAGGACCTCTGGAAGAGCAGTCAGTGCTCTTAACCACTGAGCCATCTCTCCAGCCCCGCTCTTTTTTATTTTTATTTTTAGATTTATAGGTGTGACTGTTTTGCCTGTGTGTATGCCTGTGTACCACGTGTGTGCCTGGTGTCCACATGGGCCAGAAGAGGGTATTGGGTGTGATGGGATTGGAGGGATTGGAGTTCCAGACAGTATCCATTTGCCTCTGCCTTCAGAGTGTTGCAATCAAAGACTGTACCATCACCACCTTGCCTGGCTCATAATCCCCGAGCCATCTCTCCAGCCCAATGTACAGTTCTTAAACATGATTTCTGGAATTTCAGAACAAGTATAATGAAGTATCTTCTAAAAAGAGGCTCTTGGTTCACATGCTAGTTGTTTGTCTTATAGACATGGGGGGCTGAGTTCTGCCTCCCAGAACCTAGGTAAAAAGTTGGGGCAGTGGTGTGCACCAATGATCTCAGTATTGAGGAGGCAGAAAAAGGAGGATCCCGAGGCTTATTGACTGAGTTGGCCAACTTCTGGTTCAGTGAGAGGCAATCTCAAAAAATTAAGGTGGAGAGTGATGGAGGAAAACACCTGACATCAACCTCTGGTCTTCACACATGAGTACATGACTGCACACATGAACATGTACACCACACAGACATACACTCAGTTTCAGTTGGTGAATTTCTGTATGTGTGTACACTAGTAATCTAGTGCTGTGTACACTGTTGTGTAGCAGAGCCATAGAATTGTTAGTTCATACTATACATTTTGAAGATAATAGAAGCACCTTTCTATAGTTTAACTCTGGTCCTTCCACCTTGACAAGGGCCAGCAAGATGGGTCAGGAAGTCAAAGGGCTTGTTCTGCAGGCCTGGTACCCAGAGTTCTTCCCAGGAAACCACATAAAGGTGGAAGAGAAAGCCAAGTTCACGGTGTTGTCCTCTGACTTCCACACATGTGTTGTGGCATGCGTCCTCCACAAAATAAATGAAATTAAAGTTTTGGAAGATGCTAGGTGATTTAACATCTATGGCGCTTGGGGGGCTTGGTCTCCTTGAGCGTACACAGGTAAGAGTCCTGTGATGTGAACTGTAGGGATGAGCCTGGAAGTAGGCAGCAGGCATTGGAAAGAGCAGGCACCTTTCATTCACATCCTGTCTTCACTGTTTGTTTGGTTTTTCGAGACAGGATTCCCCTGTGTAGCTTTGAAGCATGTCCTGGAACTCACTCTGTAGACCAGGCTGGCCCCAGACTCACAGAGATCGGCCTGCCTCTGCCTCATTGTTTGAAAGAATGGTTCTCTGCAACAGCCCAAATCTTTAGTGACATGTGGATCATTGTGTGCAGTTCCCTTTTTACAACTTGTCCCATAAGTTGCCTTTGGGCTTTGGTCCTTTCCTCAGCTGAGGTCTTCCCAGGGCAGAGAAGAGCAGTTCATTGACTTTTAAATTTTTTTAATTGTGTGTTTGTTGGTGTTTGCCTGCCTGTATGTGTGCACGGTATCTGAAGAGGACAGAGAGGGAGTTGGAGCCCCTGGAACTGGAGGTATAGATGATGTGAACTGCCTTTTGAGTGCTGGGAATTGAAGCCAGCTCTTCTGGAAGAGCATCTAGTGCTCTTACTGCTGAGCTCTCTCCAGCCCCGGAAGAGAGTGGCTTTAAGACTGGGCTTTTGGAGGGCTGAAAGCTTCAGGATTCACTGAGTTGCCTTATGCCACAAAGGGAGCAAGCAGCATTAGGAATCAGCTGATATGATGGGCTAAAATCCCCATTAGGCAAATCCCTGATCATGCTTCTGGATCTGCACAGTATAAATTATTGCCCATGAGCTTCTCCTTCATACAGGGCTGACAGAAGGAGCTAAAGAAACTAAATTATTTCTGTTAACCTGATGCAACCTTATGATTTTATTACAATTTTTGTGTAAGAGAAATGCTGGGGATTGAACCCAAGCCTTGCATGTGCTGGGCTAGGACCCTACTAAACTGCACCCTGTATTCCTAATTTCTGCTAATTACAGCATGAGCAGGCTGATTTTATTTTGACTACAAACATGTAACTTTTAACCTGTAATAAAATTTTCACTAACTGGTGAAATGGTAGCTGGTAGAGACACAGCAACATCAAGAGAGAGAGAGAGAGAGAGAGAGAGAGAGAGAGAGAGAGAGAGAGAGAGAGAGAGAGAGAGGAGAGAGAGAGAGAGAGGAGAGAGAAATTTGCCTATTTTCAAACTCTGTTAGCTCTGGTTAATTACTTTGTCATGTGACAAATCAACTTTTTATCCTGTTAAAGACTTAATTTTAGAGGCAGAGCCCATACTTTATCTTTTATTAATCCTTTTTATTTTCTAGGCTTGTTTACAAATTGACCCTGCGGAAAGGATATCGTCTACTGATCTTTTGCGTCACGATTACTTTACTAGAGATGGATTTATTGAGAAGTAAGTATGTGTGGTCTTTCCTACTAGACGGGGAATCGCTAGATAGGAAAATGTTACAGAACAAAAGTATTCAACATAACAGAATCCTAACAGAGTTACTGTGCCAGGCATTGATCAGGTATATGGTAGTCTGGTGGGTGACATGGGTGAAGATTCACTGCAGTAACTGCAGCTAGCATTCGTTGCAGGGACACAAGGTTGTAGGCTGGGTACCAAGATCCCATTCTACAGACTGAAGCCTCATCTCAGGACAGAGGTCATATTTAATATAAGAATTAAGGATTTATTTTATTTTGATTTATGTGTATGTGCACATGTGTGTGGGGGTACCTATAGAAGTTAGAAGAACAATAGACTTCTTGGAAGTGGAGTTACAGGCAGTTGTGAGCTAGTTAACATGAATGCTGAGTAACAAATTCTGGGTAAGTCCAGAGATACAAACAGCTTCTGTATCAAAACTCAAGTGGACATTTTATTAAATTCACATCTCAAAGGGAATCTAATGTAAGTCTGTTTTGTAAGGTTTTTTGTTTGTTAGCTTTTTGGGATAGGGTTTCTTTATGTAACCCTGGCTGTCCTGGAACTAGCTCTGTAGACCAGGTGGAACTCACAGAGATCCACCTGCTTGGTTGTCTTTGTTTTGTGTTTTGTTTTTGTTCTTTTTTTTTTTTTTTGGTTTTTCGAGGCAGGGTTTCTCTATGGTTTTGGAGCCTGTCCTGGAACTAGCTCTTGTAGACCAGGCTGGTCTCGAACTCACAGAGATCCACCTGCCTCTGCCTCCCGAGTGCTGGGATTAAAGGCGTGCGCCACCACCACCCGGCTTGTTTTTGTTCTTTTGAGATAGGGTTTCTCTGTGTAACCCTAGCTGTCCTGGAACTCGTTTAGGGACCAGATTGGCCTTGAACTTGGACACTTGTCTTTCTAGCACTCTTGAAGCTGAAGCAAGAGCATTTTATGCTTGACACCAGCTTGGGCTACACAGTGATAGCCTGTCAAACACATACACACACACACACACACACACACACACACACACAAAATCAAAATAGTGCCATCTCTTGGTATCAGTTTTTTTTTTAGCATTGTTTATGCTTGATTGAATAGTTCTATTGAGATAAACCATATAAGTAAAACGACAGTTGGAAAATATTGCTTGATTCATCAGATTTATACCAGAGCTGAGAGCTAAATTATTACAAGAAGCAAAGGTTAATTCCTTCATAAAGCCAAGAGAGAATTTTAAAGAAAATGAACCTGTGAGAGATGAGCGGAAACCAGCTTTTACCAACACGTTGCTTTATGGAAACACATCACTTCATGGAAAGGTGAGCTGACCTTGCTGTTTCCGCCTTTGTGGTTGTGTCATCGTCCGGGCTCTTGTGACTTGGATTCTCAACACACCTATTTCAGGAAACGGACAAAGACAAAAGACCCAAGGAGATCAACGTCAGAGTTCTTAAGGCCAAAGGAGGGAAAGGCGATGTCCCAGACCTGAAAAAGATAGAGTATGAAGGTGAACTCCACCAGCAGGGCACAGCCGATGACATGCACGCCTTGTCTCAGGATAGAAAGCCCGCCATTGCTGAAGTGCCAAAAACTGTCAATCCCAGCATGCACCCTGACGGTGTCAAAGAAGACCCACATGCTGGAGGTTGTTTGATAATGCCACCCATCAACCTGACAAGCAGTAATTTGATGGCTGCAAATCTCAATGCAAACCTCTCCCACCCCAATTCACGGTGAGCTGGGGCAGAAGGGATCCTAAGTACAACATTTTTCTGTAGGATGGCATTTCAAAGGGTCACTTCAATAGTGTCAGTGTAGACTGAATTTGAAGATCTGTTAAAATGATAGTCATGTAGCTGGCATTCACTGAGTAGATTCTGGAAATGCCACATGAAAAGTTTTCTTCTTTGTTATGTAGGTATTTAATTTCTTTTGAGACAAATTGCCACAGATCCCAGACTAGCCTAGAACTGGACTTTGTAACCCAAGCTGGCCCCCTACACATGGTCAGCCAGCCTCAGCCTCCTCAGGGATTCCATTACAGATGTGTACCACCACAGCAAACTTAGCTGTCTAATTGTTCACTGGTGTATTTGGGGATAGCTTTAAAATATTTATGTATGTTTTCCTGAGTACATTCATGTGTACCACATTTATTCAGTGTCTGTGCAGGCCACAGAACATCAGATCCCCTGGAGCTGGAGTTGTAGGCAGTTGTGAGCCAACCAGTGTGGATGCTGGGAACTGAACCCAGGTCCTCTTCATGGACAATACTGACTTTTAACTGCTAAACCAAGAATATGTTTTTTAATAATTTATTTTTTAGCAGGCATATGGTGTCACTGCATAACAGAGGAGGAGGCAGGAAACTAGCCACATGTAGGAATGACATACATGCAAACAAGGGAGAGAGATTTCAGGGCAGGCGCCAGGTTCCTTTCTGAAGACCCTCTTTTCTGGAGTGTCCTTCAAGTGCAAGAATGTGTCCTAAGGAGGAAAATCATCGGTCTGTCTTGAGATTTAGTCACCTCCTTTCTGAGAGTCCTCACCACTTACAGGCTCCACCCCTCTCAGTCCTACTAGCTGGGAATAAGCTTCCAGTCTGGACCATTGGAGGACAAACCTTGGTAACCACAGCACTCAGTACTGCAAAGTAAGATTTAGTTCTGCCTCACACAGAGTCTCTCAGTGGAAAAAGAATAGTCCAAAATTAGTTCTTCATAGCAAATAGCCTTTCAATATTAAGTATTTTGGTAGGAAAAGGGTATATCAGGTCAGTTTTAGATTTAATTTGTGCTGTAGGATGAGAGACTGATGTTGTGTTTAATGTGGGAAGTGGGAATGAACAGTGCAGACAGTTGGCCTCTTTGCAAACCTACACTGTGAGGTGCAGTAACTCAGCTAGATTTTCACAGACTGATTTAGGCTGCAGATTGTGAAGAAGAGGGCTTGTCTCTGTAGTCTAAAGGCTCATCAGACCCTTGGCTGCAATAATCCCAGGTGTTCTTGAGGTGACCCCGAGTAGCCATGGTTGTAAGTCACTCTCAGACCATAATTGAGAACTTGAGAGGTTAAGTGATCCACGGTTAGAACAGATCCAAGGGAGCAGATGGCCACAAGAGGAACTTCATGACATGTTTTCACCAGCAGTTAGCCATGCGCTGCTTCTGTCCCTGCAGTTCTCAGAACTCAATAACTGACCATTGCTTTTGACACTCAGTGTTCTGACAGTACCAGTTCTGTTTTATAAGCCAGGCTCGGGTTATGTTGCCCAGGCTATACTGAAATTAGCAGCCCTGAACCAGCCACTTGAGTGTCAGGGTTATAGGTGTTTGCAGCCAGGTCCACCTATTATAACTTACTTGTTCTTCAAACTAAAGCAAGGGCAATTCTTGGGGTTCTAATAACTTCTCCTTTATCTTTAATTGATAGGTTAACTGAAAGAGCAAAAAAGAGACGCACTTCTTCACAAACCATTGGACAGACTTTGTCTAATAGCAGACAGGAGGACACAGGTCCCACACAAGTAAGGCAAGATGCTAGTCATTAAAATATGGTCTCTTGAGGCTAGGGAGAGGTCTCAGTCAGTAAAGTGCTAGATGAGCAAGCATGAGGATCAGAGTTTGGATCCACAGAACCCGTGTGCCAAGCTGGGCACAGTGGTCCATGCCTGTAAGCCTAACACTAGGGAGTCAGAGAGGAGGATCCTTAGGGCTTTGCTAGCATTCCAGTCTAGCCAATTGTGAGCTACAGGTGTAATGAGAAACCGTCTTCAAAATAAGGTGGAGAGTTATCCAGAAAGACATGCATATATACTGCAAGAGCAGTAACTATTCCTAGCCATGGAACCGCCTCCCCAGCCCTGTTCCTTTCTCTAGTTTGTGTACTTATGTGTTCCCTTGACCTTTACAAATCACAGGACTTGTGTTTTTCTCTTCCAAAAATACCTTTATGGATCAAAAACACTGCCAAATAGATGCAGTTTCCTTGCTCTAGAAATGTTAACCATGTCTTTCTTTTTTTGCTCATCATTTCTTTACATAGTATAATCAGTTTATTACATTCGAGGCACAGCATTATTCATAATAATAGAAGATTGAAAACAGCCAGGTGTGGTGGCACATGCCTTTAATCCCAGCACTCTGGAGGCAGAGGCAGACTTAGTCTACAATTCAAGTTCCAGGACTGCCAGCACTACATAGTGAGACCCTGACTTAAAATAAAGGAAATATGGCAAACAACACAACCCTGTGTAAGAGCTGATAGTTTCTGAAGTACACTGGGGTGCATTTGTGTGATGTGTTGCTGCGTGTTACATTGTGGAAAAGTGTTCACTGTTCTACAGAAGCTTTTTATTGCATTTATTTATTTTGGGAGACACGCCAGTTCCAGGACAGCCAAGGCTACACAAAGAAACCTTGTCTTGAAAAACAACAAGCAAGAAAACAAACAAACAAAAGATTATGGTTCTCAAAATGAAGAATAGTAAGGACTCAAAGCCTTGCTTGGGAAACTTCCCTGGGAGTCTGGTCTGCTTGCATGTAGTGGTACTCTGTTCTTTGCCTTGTGTGTTTATTTTTGCTTCTGTTTTTTTTTTTTTTTTTTGAAACAGGGTCTCACTATTGTCTTAGGCTGGTCTTGAACTTGAGATCCTTCTGCCTGTCTCCCAAGTGCTAGAAATATAAGGCATGACTACCATACTTAGTTCTGTTCTACTTCTGAATTATTAGGATAATCTCCAGAACTTTTCCATCATTCAGATGGCAAGCGCATCTAGGTTTGGATTCTGTGGTTAGTTTCACATGGTTCCTCATGCTAACTGGTACTTGTTTGTCTAGAGCCAAGCAGAGAAAGGCGTATTTAACGACCGAACAAGTCAGAGTGACCAAATGGCAAGTGGAAACAAAAGAAAGCTGAATTTTCCCAGATGTGACAGGAAAGAATTCCATTTCCCTGAACTGCCATTCACAATACAGGCGAAGGAAACGAAAGGAATGGAAGGTGGGTCCCTTGTGGTGCACAGCTCCCCAACACTGCAGATGACACAAGTCAGGGATGGGACTTTTGTGAGGGAACTTACGTGACATCTTTGTAGAAAGTAGTAAAATTGCTTTGAAAAAGTAAATTCCATTGAGAAGATTTTTTTTCTTGTAAAATTAAGGAAAGGGTTAGATGTTGGCTTTGTTTTGTTTTAGACAGGGTCTCACTATGTATCTCTGCTGTCCTGGAACTCACTACGTAGACCAGGCTGGCCTCGAACTCACAGAGATCCCCCTGCCTCTGCCTCCCGAGTGCTGGAACTAAAGGGCCACTGCTGCCTGGCTTCATAGAGATATTTTTTAAAAAGGTAAAGACAGTTCCAAAGGGTAAATGTTTTATTAGCTTGAAGTTGAGACGCTGGGGCAGAATTTGAGAAAGGTGAGTTTGATGCATTGTATAACCTGTGGTAAAGTACCTGTCCTGGTTGTTTGCCCAGAAGTGTTACATATGCGTTGGGCACGCTGGGATTTGGTAGATTTTATAAATTTATAAATGTAATTTTTGGGCTGGTGAGATGACCCGGCAGGTAAAAGCATTTGATACTAAGCTTTGACGACCTAAGTTTGATCATGAGATTTACATTGTAGATGGAGTGGATTGGCCACATCCCAATAAAGAAATGAATAAACAAATAGAATGTAATAAAAACTAAACATATTTATCTTAGAGTGAATGCATTGACATGAGCAAATGTTCTTTCCTTTCCTTGGAAGACAGAGACCTTGTAAATGTGACGCAGTGGCCATGTGAGGGTCACCTTTGTGAGATCATCAAATAAAGCGAACCGCATTTACAGCGCAGATACTCAGCTCCTTTGCAGCTAACTTCAGAAGGAAGGGGCTCACTGGCTGTGAGGGCGCCTACCTGAGCTCCTTCAGAGGGCAGTTTCTAGGCAGGCCAGCAGGGCCAACAAATTATTCTTTTTCCTTGTTTTCTTCTTTTTTCCCCCCCTTTTTTTGCAAAAGTTAAACAGGTGAAAGTGCTGAAGAGAGAGGCAAAGAAAACAGATTCACCTAAAATACCAACTTTACTCACTGTGGACCCAAATCAAGAACAACAAGAGGTAAACATTTTTTACTACTCATAGATGTTGTTCGGTGCTTGCATTTAGTTGTTGCTGGAAAGTTCTGTAAACATTAAAATCTTTATAATCCTTAAACTCTAGAAACAGGTTTGTTTTTATTTTATCATACATATATATATATATATATATATTTCTTTGCTTTTTTAGGCAGGGTCTCACTATGTACCTCTGACTGACTGGAACTCACTATGTAGATGTCTCAAACTCACAGAGATCTGCCTGCCTCTGCCTGTTCTGGGATTAAAGGCTTATAACATTGTACCCAATTATTTATGTTCTAAATGTTAGTTTTTGAAGTAGTAAACACCAACTGTTGTTTGAACTTTTAATGATTAGAATACACAGCATTCAGGACAAATAGTAGTTCTATTCATCATCCAGCCTTGTTCAGGTGACTCATGCCATGGACAGGTTGTGACTGACTGCCCCGGCTGTGTTTGCCTTTGGCTTTCCCCTTCTGTTTTCTTCTCGTTTACACTCTTTGTTCCCCAAATGTTGTCCTATTTTCACAAATATCTGCTTCAGCTCTAACTCCCATCCACCACAGCGATTCTTGGATTTTATTTGGAAATCTTTAGTTGTCAACATCCATTTGAATGTTTTCTCTTGGGTGAAGGAGCCTGAACTGACACTCACTGAGTCTCAGCAGGCGTGTGGCCTTGGATTCCTAGTGAGGTCATCGCTATGCATAGTTTATCAATTTTATTATCTCCATTACAAATGAAACTGACTACATTTTAATGCATGGTAAAGTTATTCCTGTTTTATTAAAGAAAATTGAGTAAATTAAAAACATGGAAGGCTGGGGAGGGACTGTGGCTCTGCTGGTAGTGCGGTGGCCTAGCATTCACCAGACCTAGCTCCACAGGAATCAGGTGTGTCAGCCATCTTCAGTGACTGGTAGTGCGCTGGCCTAGTGTTCACAAGGCCCTAGCTCCACAGAAACCAGGTGTCGGCCATCTTCAGTGACTTGGAGGCTCTCCGGGGCTGTGAGCCTTTGTCTCAGAAAAACAAACGAATAAACCTTATAGGCGTATATATGTAAAGATTTTTCTGAAGCCCTGTAAGAAGGCATTTTAATTGTGACATTTAGCTTTATTTTGACAGTTCCAGGACTATTTATGTATGTCACAATCTACTTCAGAGCCAGCGCTGTTATTGAAAGGAAAACCATTAATGGCTGTCTTTCAGTTTATTATAAGTCACAAGATCCTTTAAGCTTGTGCATTTGAGGATGTACTCACGCCCGGGAAGCCTGCATAGCATACCATTTGCAGAAAGGTTGACTAATTGGGTGCATTGGCGCCTGGGTTGAAGAGAGTTGTGATGTGCCACCAGTATTCATCCTGCTATTTCAGAGAGGCCCAGAAACCCAAACCACATATACGTGCAGGGGAAAATGAATCACACTAGCGCTCTCAGGTATTTACATGGTGTGGAATTCCTGAAAAGGCTGCCTTGAAAAGAGAGTCACCGAAACCAGTACAGTTGTTAGAAACACGGAGGAGCTGTCAGTGCTACTCAGAGCTTCTCTGTGCACTGTCAGACACAGTGCAAGTGTGTAACTGAGACTGAGGTGACGCTAGTACGAACACAGTTTAGTGAGTTGATGTCAGAGTTAAGAAAATTTCTGAGCTGCTGAGATGACCCAGTGAGTAAAGATGCTTGTTGCCGAGACTGAAGACCTGAGGTCCAGCCCCAGCCCCAGAACTGACATCACAGAAAAAGAACCAGGCCCCACAAGTCGGCCCTGAACATCATGACACACATTTGTGTACAGACAAAATAAATATATGTAAAATTTTAAAAATTCCTTAGCCATGCATGGTTTCACGTGCCTTTAATCCCAGTACTTGGGAGGCAAAGAACACTTGAGAGGCAGAGGCAGGTGGATCACTATGTGTTCAAGGACAGCCTGGTCTATACATTGAGTTCCAGGCCAGCCAGAACTTCAGAGTGAGACCCTATCTTAAAATCTTTTCTTCTAAATTTTCAGTCTGTGGTTGTTCTTTTTTATATATAGTTGGAGAGAATATTGAAACAGGGCATAGGAGCTAGGAGTGTCACTGCTAATGCTCATCCAGCATGGGCTTGGTCTACAGAACCCTAAAACAAACAGATCAGAAGACAGGGAATAGAAGCTTACATGTTCCAGTGTTGACGCTTCCATTGGCTTGGTTTTCTAATTACTTCACCAGATCCAAGTACTCTTTAGATGTGTATGTAACCCTTTCAGGAGGCTTAGCAGTACATTGGCATAATGTAGGTGCACACTGAAGGGGCTCTGGCCAGAAAGAACCCTATGTGGCTATGAATGGGTAGCCTGAGCAAGAGAGAAGAGCCCAGAGGGAGACCGCTAGTAAGTGGTTCTGTTTGATGAGTGGATTTCTTTCCCACCAGTCTCCCTGTGTCCTTACAAAGCAACCTCTAGGGCAGAGGGCAGGTATTTTATCTCAGTGACTCACCACTTCCTGTTGTTTTTAGAACACAAGGTGCATCAGCTAAAAGGAGAGGAACCTGTTAGCTGCAGAATAGAAAATAGGGCAGATGAACATTCAGGGAGCCCCAGACTCGTGCGTGGTTAAAACAACCCTTTTTTGTTAATTTACATGCTCAGAAGTGCTGACTAGCAGTGAAGCCTGGATAGCTGGGTGTAGTCTCCTATTTTTGTTTTTAAATTTATAATATTGTTCCTGTTTTGTTCATTTGAACATCAAGTTCACAAACGTCTGTTAATAGAACTACATCTCACATCAAGTCATGTGGTTTTATTTAATCATCTGTTATTTATGGCATGTTGATTTAGTGCTTGTTCCCAAGTTTTGTTCAGAGCTTTATAAGTATACAGGGGAAAGTTACTAAATATACAACACAGAGTCTGGTGTAAATACATAACACAGAGAGTCCCAATGTGAAAATATAATATAGAGTCCCAATGTAAATAAGGAAATAAGAGTCTGATGTAAATATATAGAGTTCCAATGTAAATATATAATACATGGTTTCAATGTAAAAGTGTAATATAGAGTCCCAATATAATATATAGTACAGAGTCCCAATGTAAATATGTAATACATAGAATTTTAATATAAATATGTAATACAGAGAGTTTCGGTATAAATGTATAAGACAGAGAGTCTCAATGTAAATATGTAATACAGAAGATCCCAGTGTAACTATACAATAATACGGAGAATCCCAGTGTAAATATTAAGAGTTCCATTGTAAATGTGTAATACAGAGAGTCCCAATGTAGATATATAATATAGAGTCCCAATGTAAATATGTAACACAGAGAATCCCTATGTAAATATAAAATAATAGAGTCCCAGTGTAAATATTTAATACAGAAGATCTCAGTGTAAATATGTAATACAGAGTCCTAGTGAAAATGTGTAATACAGAGAGTCCTAGTGTAAATGTATAATACAGAGTCCTAGTGTAAATGTATAATACAGAGTCCTAGTGTAAATGTGTAATACAGAGAGTCCTAGTGTAAATGTATAATACAGAGAGTGTTGAAATAGGAGCGGCGGGGCTGCGTCCCCAGCACCCCAGCCGCCTGCTAGCTCATGCCCGAAATAACAACACACAAACTGTATTCATTTAAACACTGCTTGGCCCATTTCTATCTAGCCTCTTCTCGGCTAACTCTCGCACCTGGACTAGCCCATTTCTAGTAATGTGTGTAAGCACCCCAAGGTGCGCTTACCGGGAAGATTCTAGCCTCCGTCCATCCTGAGTCGGAGCTTCCTGGGAGAGGGGAGCCTGGCGTCTCTGCTCCAGAGAGCAGAGCTGTCGGGTCTGAGCTCACTTCCTCTTCCTCCCAGCATCCTATTCTGTTTACTCCTCCCACCTATGTTTTAACCTGTCAGGGCCAAGGAGTTTCTTTATTGCTTAACCAATGAAATTAACAGATTGATATATGACACTCCCACATCACCCCTAGTAATTCCTAGTGTAAATGTGTAGTACAGAGAGTCCTAGTGTAAATGTATAATACAGAGAGTCCTAGTGTAAATGTGTAATACAGAATCCCATGTAAATATGTAATACAGAAGATCTCAGTGTAAATATGTAATACAGAGTAAATATGTAATACAGAGTCCTAGTGTAAATGTATAGTACAGAGAGTCCTAGTGTAAATGTATAATACAGAGAATCCTAGTGTAAATGTATAATACAGAGTCCTAGTGTAAATGTATAATACAGAGTCTTAGTGTAAATGTATAATACAGAGTCCTAGTGTAAATGTGTAATACACAGAGTCCTAGTGTAAATGTATAATACAGAGTCCTAGTATAAATGTGTAATACAGAGTCCTAGTGTAAATGTATAATACAGAGAATCCTAGTATAAATGTGTAATACAGAGAGTCCCATGTAAATATGTAATACAGAGTCCAGATATAAATATGTAATACAGAGAGAGGGTCCCAATTTCTAGGTGCCAAAGATTCCTGAGCAAGGAAGATAAGCATAAACAGATGTTGGGTTACACGATGGACATGCTGGCCAAACATTGAGTTGTGTCCCGTAGATTGATTGAAAGAATGGGACTTAAATGGAGCAGCTCTTACCACTCAGTAGATCACCTGTAGCGTAACATTAGTACAGCCATGGCTTTGACAGCAGATTTCTTATCCCTGATTCTTACTGGCTTGGTTTTTAATTTTAGGGTGGAGATGGCGATTGTGAGGGGAAGAATTTGAAGAGGAACAGATTTTTTTTTTCCCGATAGTGTTTTGTCTTTTAAGTAATCTTAAAAATACAAGCTTGACAACTCTTCCCTTTTTATTTTATACACAACAGAATGTAACATAGGTTGCTGTTAAGATAGCCATCCATCCTGTCTGCATCAGCATCATCTACATTTTTTTTAGCAGAATTTTAACCATTTTTCTCTTCTAAAAACTGGTATTTTGATGCTGCAGTCTGGAATTATAACATCACCTTCCCTCTGACTGCTCCTTCCTTGCCATGATTACTGAGTGGGTAGTACAGCATCACACGATGAGCCCTGCTCCCCTGCTCTCTGCCTGCTGAGAGTCAGGCCTCCAAGCAGTTGTCTCCTGGAAAGCGCTGGCTTCTTCAAGTGAATGCTCTATGAACCTCCTGTCTGTTATCTTAGTAACTATCCATTACCATCGCATGACGAAAGACGTTCTGTTGGTCAGCAGTGAAGCATTTATAATACTTATGTAACATTTACAGTGATGTGATATTCCAGGGTTAAATTCCTGTAAATCAATCAATTGCGAGCATTCTCCCAGTTCCCTAGACTGATAGTGCCTTCCATTTAGCTGGAAGAATTTCCCTAAAGAAACTATGCACACCCTGGGAAAGGTTTACTTTCTCTGCTGGGCTGTTTTCTGTTGCTGAATAATACAGACTGGGTAGTTAACATAAAAAAGTAGAGATTATTTAGCTCATGGTTCTGGAGGCTAGAAGTCCACTGCCACAGGCTGACTTCTTTCGGCATCGGAGAGGGCCTTGCTATAGTCAAGCATGGTGGAGGTCACCACATAGAGAAGGGGAGCAAGCCACTAATACCTGGAGGTACCGGTTCATGTCCTCATCTATTCTGAGTTACCTCCTAACGGCCCCAGCTGCCTAAGGCCACTGACATATTAGCTTGGGGTTAAGTTTATAACACATTAACTCCTCGTTCCCGCCCCCTGCCCCTGCTCTTGGGAATGCTGAGAAATGGATTCAGGATGCACATATGAGAGGGCAGCTCTCTACCCCTGAGCTAGAATATGGACCTTTTGTTGTTTTGTTTTAAGACAGTTTCTTATTAAATACAGCCTAAACTGATCTAGTACTTTATATGTAGCCCAGGCTAGTCTCAGACTTGGAGCAATCCTCCTGCCTTCATCTCCTGAATGCTCAGAGTGTAGCCATGTTCCACACATGAACTTTTGAAGGGTATATTTAAACCAAAGTACTACCAAAATTCTACATTTTTTTCACTCTGTAAAAATTATGAAATTGTCTTAGTTGGCATTTTACCAAACGTCTAATCTAGTTTTCTTTTTTAAAAAAATATTTATTTATATTTATTTATTATGGATACAATATTCTGTCTGTGTGTATGTCTGCAGGCCAGAAGAGGGCACCAGACCTCATTACAGATGGCTGTGAGCCACCATGTGGTTGCTGGGAATTGAACTCAGAACCTTTGGAAGAGCAGGCAATGCTCTTAACCTCTGAGCCATCTCTCCAGCCCCCTAGTTTTCTAGTTATTAAATAAACATGAAAAGGAAAACACATTTTTTTTTGAGACAGCGTTTCTCTGTGTAGCTCTGACTGTCCTGGAACTCCCTCTGTAGACCAGGCTGCCTACCTGCCTCTGCTTTCTGAGTGCTGGGATTAAAGGCACATGCCACCACACCCAGCAAGAAAACACTATTTAGTATACTGCTGTGCCGTATTTTTAATTTAGGAAAGTCTTTTAATCTATTTATCTGTTTGTCTGTCTGTGTGTCTATCTATCAGTCCATCTATCTATTTATCCATGTATCTATCTATTTTGGTTTTTCAAGATGGGTTTTCTGTGGTGTAGCCCTAGCTGGCCTTGAACTCTCTCTGTAGACCAGGCTGACCTCAAATTCACAGAGATCCACCTGCCTCTGCCTCTGCCTCCTGAGTGCTGGGATTAAAGGCTTGGCTTGCGCCACCACCTCCCAGCCAGGGAATTATTTCTACTGTATTATTTTTATTCCTCGAGAATTTCACACAGTGTGTTTTGATCAAACTCACTCACTACTCATTTCCATAACTCCTCCCAGATCCACCCCACCTTCCTATCCCACTCCAAATTTCATGTCAAATATTTATTTTATTTTCAATAATCTATCAGGTTCAATTTGTGCTGCCTGTGTTCTCCTGGGTTATAGGGTCATCCACTGGAGAATGAACAACTCACCAGGGGCCACACCCTTAAAGAAACTGACTCCTTTTCCCCAGAAGCCTCCAGTTGTCCAAAGCTACACAGCTGGGGTAAGGACTTGGGGGTCCCCTTAGCCTCCATGCTAGAATGACTGGCTTGATCCTGTACAGACATCCATAGCTGCCCGAGTTCTTGAGAGCAGAGATTCTGACATGTCTAGGAGATACTGTTTCTCTCCAGTCCTTCCTGACCTCTGGCTCCTGCAAACTTTCTACCCCTTCTTTCATAATGTTCTCTGAGCCCTGCAAGAGGCTGGGTGATACAGATGTGTCTCATTTGTGGCTGAACACTCCACTGACCTATATTCTCTGCTGTGGGTTCTGCATCAGCCTCCATCCACAGCACAAAGCAACTTCTCAGATGACTTCTGA